GCTGTTGGGAGCGGAGGGGGCGGCGTGTCGGCCTGGAGCAGGCCGGGATTGGCCCACCCCGCTGGCGCTGGGGCCCTGCCGGCCTGCGCTGTGCCGGGGGGGGTCTGGGGCTCACTGAGAGCTGGGGTAGGCCCTGCCTGGAGTGGGCCCGGTGGTGAGAGGGGAGAGGCCTGTGGTCCTGGTGCTGGCGGGGGCAAGGGCGCTCCCCGTGGGGGCGAGTAAAGCTCCTCTCTGGGGCTTGTGCTCCCCGGGCTTCGGGCTCTCCCGGGCTGGGGCCTCGCTGAGGGGGCGGCCGGTGTTGTACGTGCCCTGAGCGCTTCATTAGGAATCGTGTTCTGCCATTGCTAATTGGGGAGGCAGGAAGTGAGAGCTGAATAAACCCTATTAACGCCACGCGGGGCAAAAAAACCTCCTTGGTAAGTCCCGGCCATTTTAATTGGGTAGTCTGAAAAATTTCCTTTCTTGTCGTTAGTGGTGAATGGGAGAACCTTTCCTGGTGTCTTGGGAGGGTTAGCCAGTGGGTTTCTGTGGAATGTGGTTTCTCAGAAAATTGTTTCTGACCCTTATGGTTTGGTAATGTCTACTGGGGGGGAGGCCAGTGGGGGATTGGAATGATCTAATCTTGCTGTCTACTGCATAATATGGGCTGGGTTGCTTAACCTTTGGTTTGCCAGGGCCTAGGGGCTGTGCAGCACTTGAAAATTAAAAAAAAAAAAACAAACCAACAAACAAAACACAACAGTCTGTGGATTTTGGGTTTACTGGGGAGATGTGTTTTTTGGGGGAGAAAACAGTGCTGTGGAGTTGAAATAGTTAGGGCTGCTCAGTGGTAAGTAATTAAATGTGCTGACCAATGAAAATTATCTTCAGGTGTCTTCCATTTGTTTCTGAATTGAAGGGTCTCATGTGGTGTCCCTTGGATTGCAGAGTTCTTCTACAAATACAGTATTTTCTTTCAAGAGAGCTTGTTGCTTCATATTCATTTTTTTAGACTGTGCTCTGCCTTTTTTGGTGTGATGTAACTGTAGAACTGTAGGGCTTAAAGAGACTTCAGAGGCATCCAGCCCTGCATCCCACAGCTGAGATAGGTGCAGGTATTCCTCATCATTCCAGACAGATATTTGCCAAGCCTTTACCTCAGAGCCAGGCGGATTCAACAACCTCCTGAAGTAATTATTCTACTACAGTGTTTTCTCTGTGAATATAGGTACCAGGAAACTTTTTGACAGATATCACCTCTAAATCTTTACTGCAAATTAAGTTGGTTGGGCAGTCTTGGTTGGTTTGGTTTGCAGACAAAGGAGGCAGAGCAATGTTAAAAACTGCTTTCTCAGTGCTACAATTTCCCTGGTAAGTATTTGAGGTTTAGAAGCCATTGCTTATGTTACTCGTGTAAAAGCTTTCTTCCAGCTCCCATTCTCTTGCTGTAAAATATTGTAGTACTTACTAATCTACTCATTCTGGACAGATGGGACCAGCTGCACTCATCAGTGTCCCTGTTGCTATTTTCAAAACCTAGTGGGCAGCTGTGAAACTAAAGAATCCTGTTTCCTAGTGCTACCTGGTGTTGCCATGGACAGCAGGCTGGGGGCTGGAGGGGAAGGAGAAGGAGTCAGAAGCAGGGAGTCAGGTTTTAGTCCAGCTTCCTGTTAAGCCCTGGTGTGAAGTAGAAGGAAATGCTCCTTAGGCTATGAAGAGGAGAAATTTTTTAGTTAGAAGACAGCTACTGTCCAGAGCCTGATGTGAAAGCTGTAGTCTAGAAGGCTTTGATACCAGAATCCTCTCATTGTTCTGTCCCCTGGGGTATATGGGATTAGCTTTTCACCAGCACTGGGCTAGTGACAGACTTCACTGGTGATGCCTTCTCCTTTGGTATTTCACACCTGGCTGAAAGGAGCTCAGGTGTGCAGTCCTGCTTATTTCCTTGAAATGAGAGCAAATCAGTGCACCTGGAAAAGATTTTTTTTTTCTTGTTTCCTTTAGCTGGGGTCTGTTAAATAGCATTTGCTGTTTGGAGAGGATCGCTAAGTCTCACTAAAATAATTTGTGCATTGTTATTGCTGCAAAACACTGCTACAGTTAGCTTGTAAACCTTTCAGGGATTCCCATTGTCTTTGCAGGGAATGCTTCAATGTTTTCAGAAATAATTTTATGCTTTTGTCATTATGCACAGTCATAGCTAATTTGTACAATATTCTGTGGTTGGCAGAGCAGTGTATTTCTACAGAGGGTGGCATGCCACTGCAATGTGAACAAAGCAGGAGAGCAGACTGGGAAAGAAGGGAGTGGGGATAACAAAGGTGAGGTGAACAATAGCGGAAGGCCCCTGATAGTGTTACAGCTAAATGGAGAGCCAGAAGGGAAGCATTGAGCAAAAGCTGTCGGCTGCCACTCGCTCAGCAAACAGCTCTTCTGGATGCAGATGCTGTTGCCCTATAATGTTTATCCTACTTCTGTTGGAAATTGCTCCTTCCAAGGTAGAGAGGTGAATGCCTGCTGTCCTGTTTGTGGGCCAAGCCATTAGGGTTAGAGTTTAAATACATGCTTTGCATTAATTCCACTGATGTTAGCTTGATGTGCTTGGGTAGTTCTCATATAAACAGCTCTGCTGGCAGAATGGTAGAAGTAGCAGCTCTCTTCCTATGGACAGGGCTGGAATAGAACAGTTGTCTCTTACCCTGCAATGGCAGGTTAATGGAGTAAAAAAAAAAAAAGTACCGCTATGGAGAGATAATTGGGATAAACTTGAAATAAAAGCAAAAAAGCACTCTTGCATGCTTTCAGCCTCCCATTTACTGCCAAAGCATTGGCTAATGTAAATGAATAAAAGCATCTAAATTTTTCCTCTGTCGAGACTTGACTGTCTTGACATCTGTAGAGAGCAACTCGCTTTGAACAGCTCAAGAAATCTGTGGAGGTACAGTTCCATTTGGGAGATGGAACAAACAGCAAAGCAGCTTTTGTAGGATCTTGTTATTGATCTGTGCCCATTACACTTGGGTGGCTGTCTAACATAGTTATAATATGTTAAAGTAATGGAGTGTTATTCGCAAAGGAAAAAGGTAGCACTCATACCACCTCTGACTTCAACTGGGGAAAACAAAATGCTCAGGACTGAAAACGTCTCTCATTTAAAGAGGAAGGAGGAAACGAGAATCTCCAGGCTTCTTTCCCACTCAGTGCATTGCGTATCAATCAAAACCCTCATAAAGGTATTTGCTGTACTATGCAAAGAGAAACTCTCTCAGTAAAGGTGGTTTTGCTGCCTGAAGTCAGATGTTCTTTACCCTTGAACATGTAATTCTCTGGAATTTGGCAGTGGGTTGGCAACTAAAAGCAGTGCCAGTTACAGTCCTGTGGATTTGCATCTCTTGCGCTGTGTTTCAACATATGAGTGTATCTGCAGAGGGAACAATTTCGTAAGTCCAGTTTACAACCTTTGTCCACTCAGGAATATTCCTTCTGCCTTTGAAGCATGGAACTGTACTTTCCACTACTTTGGTATTGAGAAGATTTTAGCATTCTGAGCAGTCTCAAAGGTGAGAGATGCAAGTAACTACATTCAACAGCAGCTTTGGTGTGTTTTAGGACAGTGCTCTGTTCTCAGTTGTTTGAGAAGGTGATGTTGAACTTTTCTGGGTTTTGTGGTACTAAATATTTTGTCTTGTAAATATCATCCACTGTCTTGAGATTGGATCTCTGTTTATTTGAAGGCTTGAGGGCACTAGTTTAATGTGATTCATTTTATTTTGGGGGGGGTATCTTTTTATTACTTAGTATATCTGTGTAAGATCTATACTCTCTGAGGCAGCTAATGAGAGACTGCAGTGAGTAGCAAACTAGTAGTTGGTGACTGTTTTGAAGATAGTGTTTGTTGTCAACCTTGACGATCCTAAGGGATGATACATGCTGCTTTGTCTGGCATATGAACAACACAGTTTACAGCTAGCCATGAGATTCACTAGAAACACTACAAATGGTGCCGTGGAACTGATGTGGAGTTTCAAGTTTATAATCTGTTTCTGTGACTAAGGTAAAGCAGTAGCTGTAGAAGGTACTGAGATAATAGTATAAATGGTGGTTGGGAGTGATAATGAACAGTATCAGTGTTTACCAGCAAGTGTTGTCTAAACTGACAGTTGAACCGTCTTCCTGCAGTTCCTTACACTGAGTGCAAGGTGTTCTGAACCCGTGCTTGTGTTCCAGAACATCCTGGAACTATAGTGTGTATGTCTCATAGAGCATGTCAAAGCAACATTCAAAAAGGTGTTCAGTTTTCAAAGCTGTCTGTGCACAGGCAATTTCCTTTCCCTGTGATGTTTCATTGTGCAGCTTCATTGGTCGGAAGAGTGGTGGTAGCGCTGGGCACAGTTTTACTGGGGTGGTTTTGCCACTTCTGTTTCATGTTGAGAGCAACTATATTAAGATGTGAAGAAAAATGTATATTCACCTCCATGGAGAAGTGCTGTTGTAGAAGGCTCTGAGATCTGACAACAGTGTGCACACTGCTGTAATGGTGGTCGGGAAGGGGTGAAGTTAGCCAGCCTGTCGTCTGTCTCTGTAGAGCTCAGCAGGTCTTGCAAATGCTGCAGTGATTCAGTGCTCATTGAATGCTTGTTGATAGTTCTGCATGGCTGTTACTTTGGTGCTGCTTTCTGACCTAAAACTGCTAAAGCATTTTGCATAATTTAAAAAGGAGAGAATGTTCAGTCCTGAAGCCCTGTTATTAGTGCTGAGTGATAATCCAGACATTTAGAAGCAAAGGTGTGAATGAGTTTGAGTCTTGTAAATTTTGCAAACGCCAGCAGAATTTCTGGGGTGTGAAGGAGTGGTGATCAGAAGACTTCCAAGGCTTTGAAATACACGCATTGGGACTCCATTGTAAAATCAAATAATTGAGTAAATCGTGGGTGCCTTTTAAGATGTCCTTTTAGAAGGACAATGAAGTTCCTTATGTAGGATTTTGGGGTAAAACAAAATCAGAATACAAGACCTAAGTTTTACCCAGTGAAGCAAATTTTTAAAGATAATTAAACTAAAACACGAAATCCTGAAGCAAGTGATAAACAAAGGTGTTCTGGCAGCAGTTTGCTGAGCTTCATTTCTTCTAGGAAATTAACTTTTGTAGTGCTCCCTTGCAAGGCTTGCTGCAGACTTCTTTTTAATAAATATTTATACACCACTGGACAGTCACTTAAAGTGCTTTTTTTCCTGAGCAACTGGAATCACATAGTTAGGTCAGCAATGCTTTGAACAGTCTGGTTCTGTACAGCAGAATGAAACAATGATTTTTGCCTAGTAGACTGGGGAGAAGGTAGAGATCTGTAGAGACTTCATGAGAAAGGAGCCAAGAAATGCTCAAAGTTTGAACTGATCCCAGAGATTGAATAGGGCATTTGTCCACAGTGTGACTCGGGTGGAAATAGCATGTGGAATGCATGAATGGGGGCAGGGAAGGGAATAGATGCACTGTCCTTCTCCAGTAAAAACCAATTCAGTGCATTCTTAAATGGTCAGCTTGTCAAGACTGCCTCAGGGGCTTTTAAATGAAGCAAGAAATGGAGAAGATAACGAGCAGAATTAAATAGGATTGCTAACAATGGATTGGATCACAAGGTGTAATAGAAACCACGCACAAGGATTTGTATCGAGTCGCCGCTCTGTGTTTGCAATGATCATTGGCTGTGTCCCACAGAAAAGCTACACTCTGCTGTGTGACATAGGGAGCAAAAGTTCGGTGTTCTTTGCTAAACTCCTGCATGGCTGAGATCTTCTCAGGTGCAGCAGAGAAGAGCGCATGGCACTGGCAGGCGGAGGACAGGCAAGGCTCTTGTGTAGTTCAGCTCACGCAATCTCTGTGGGTCAAGCAGGCTCCATCTGTTCACTGTGTGTAGCAGTCCAGTGGGAAAGCAGCCTGCTTCACTCTGAGCTTGGTCCCTGAGCTGCTCAGGGAGGTGCACTCTCTGCGGTATTACAGCAGCTGGCTGGGGAGGTGTCTGGAAAGAAATCCACCCTGTGAGAACATGAAGCATTAAGAACCTGTGGAGTTCTCTTGCAAAGAATGACCTTGCTGGAGAAACTGTCGTATTTCAACAGTCTCCTTGTATCACCAGCACACTTCTATGTTGAATTTATTACACTGCTTGTGACAATTATTTTCATTGCTTCTGCCATTGTGTATCTAAGCTAAATCAGTGTTTCTGAAGGTGCAACTGCTTTCTTGGCTTCCTGTAGCCCAGTTATTAAAAAAAAAAAAAAAACAACCCCGAAAACTTTTTACTCCTTTTAATTGTAAAATAACAGTAGTTTCCTTCCAAATTGCCAGCATTGTTAATGGTGTCACCGGTAATGATCTTTCACTGACTGATTCAAAGGATTGTTGTTAAAAGGTTAGCAGCAGCACATTTGTGGTTTTATGCTTTCCTGTGAAAGTGCATGCTTTAACTCTGGTGATAGGGGCATTATACAACCCTGAAATGTCTGTTCAAACACCTTACAGTGAGTAGTGTGGGGAGAGACAAGTTTGTGGCACAGTGACAGGGATGTTCACTTCAACAAAGATTTTTGTGTCAATTCAAGGGTTGCTGACGTGGCTTCCTGTAATAACAAATAGTGTTGTTTGATCTCTTGTGCAGAAGTTCTGATTGGCACAGGGTTAAAAATATGCCTTCCAAAACATTGGTGTGAGAACCCAGTGGCTTTGAGGTCTACTGATGTGTTTGGACTATGTTTTCTGGTTTGGGTCATGTCTGTGTTGGACTAGTTTATTTTTTTTTACTATAGAATCCTCAGTGATGCTGAAAAACACTACCTTCATTAGTGCCTGGCTCATTTTGGTTTTAGTCTGTTTGTGCTTGCAGTGAGTGAAGTAATGGTTGTCTTGGGTTTTCAGAAGTGCTTTGCTTGTTTAAGTTGATGCTTTGAGGTGATGCTTGAGGGCATTGGCATGGCATATCCTTCCAGAGTGAAATTTATGGTTGATACTATGTTAGACTCTTGACTGGACTGAGTGTACTTGTAGTAGCAGGCCTTGGGCACTGCTGAGAATTGGCTAATGCTGCAAGAGTGCAAAGGCCTGTTTGAGGCCACCTGTGTGTTTATGTATTTGGATTCGCTCAGGTTGCTCTCCTCTTAAACTGAGAGCAGAGCACTTTAAAAAAAGAGTATTGTGGTAATGTGTTGCAGTAACTCCTGTCTATGCTCATGTATTGCAAAGAACAGTAAAAATACATCACTTCCCTGACACTTATTTGCTTTTATTCTCCTTTTAGGACTTGACCGGCATAGAGTCTATGGACCAGTGTCGTCACACACTGGAGCAGCACAACTGGAACATAGAGGTACCATGGCAAAGAAGATTTGTAGTGGTTTCCAAGTACCTGGATTAAACAGAGTACTCGGGGGGGGTATCTTCCAATCTAGAATCCAGTCCAAATATTACTTGTGCTTACAGGCCCAGAATTTACAGTAGTAGGTCTTTATAACAGTATCTTGATGTTGCTGGAGAGCTGGTTTCAGAAGTATACAGCGGAGTTGTTAGGGCTGTGAACAATCACTTGACTGGCACATGGTGTAACTTCCAATAGTGCATGTGTGCAGGCTGCCATGGAGAAGGCTTTCCATACAGAAAAGAGTGGTTAAGGTTTGTAATGAGTCATGCTTATCCAGTGCTGTGGACAAGTAATACCTACTGTTAGTGTCCAAAGTATAAAGAAGGTATTTTCTGACATCCTTAAATGTCTAAAACCTCCCATTGCTCTTTCTTGTGTTAAAGGCAGCTGTACAGGACCGACTGAATGAGCAAGAGGGTGTCCCAAGTGTCTTTAATCCTCCTCCATCACGGCCATTGCAGGTCAATACAGCCGACCACAGGATCTACAGCTACGTTGTCTCAAGGCCACAGCCAAGGGCAAGTTATCTTACAGTGGATTTTTGTCCTGCTTCTTGGGTGACTATTTGTGAACAACAGAACTTGCAAGCAGGGAAAGGAATTGTTTTCTTTGTATGCTGCTATCTCCTTTCTAAGTATTTTATCTTCTGAAAACAAAACATAGACTTATTCCTTCAGCCTGTGTTACTACTGTGGATATCTTCTCCATGGTGTGATTCACCATATGAGATGACCTTTTTGTTATAGGATGTCTTGTTGTGGTGTAGTAAAGCTTTTTGATCAGTTCAGTTGGAACAAAGGACTGTCCCCTCCTTATGGCAGAGCAATAGAACTTCTTTCTTTTTAGAGCCCCACTAAAATGTATATTAACTTGAATACAGCATGATTACTTGCATTAACGTATCACAGATTTGCACAAGTAGCTTGTAAGACTCAATGCTGTTAATCCCTTTGTACAGTTAAAACTAGCGCAGAGTGAAAGCACTGCTGCTTGAATAGTCAGTGACCCTGATTTTCAGACATGTCATGTTGAATTCTGAAAGAACCATGTTAGCCACTAAAACTTGATTTGGTGTGGCTGAAGCCATGAAATATTGCTTAGCTCTTTTTGCAGTGGTTAGAGCACTGATACTCCCATGTGTGCCTGTGCTTGTTGCTGGTGGGCACTTTGCTTTAGCAGGCCTCTTCCTGGGGTGGAGACTGTTCTAATTCTTTGTTTGTAATTACAGGGCCTGTTAGGATGGGGTTACTATTTCATAATGCTTCCATTCCGATTTACCTATTACACATTACTTGATATATTTAGGTAAGTAGGTTTTTTGTGCTGACTCATGTATTGACTGAATCAGGGCACAGTCTAGCTTAGATTTGGCCGTAGCTCTTTCACTTGGATCTTTAAGTCTAATGGCAGACTTTCCATTTATTTGCTGAACTGGCTTTTGTATCCTGGTAAAGTTCCTACACTGTTTAGTAAGAAATAAATCTCATTGCAGAGGAAAAGAAGCATCTCGCAGATCTATAAATGAAATATTTAATTGGAGTTCTAACTCCATGTGGCTTTACAGTTTGAGTGCCATGCAAAGGGGATGCAAAACAGTGTCAAACTGTCTGGTATTCTTGGATAAACAGCTTGATCAGAATTACGTCCCATTGGGCTGGGCTGCAGGTTAACCTGCCCTAATACCTGTATGTTACTCGGCAAAACCCAAACTGTAAACACCTCTGCTTTTTCCCCTTTGGTGTCTGTTGCCTATTCTCCCTTTACTGCCCCAAAGGGCTAGTTCATCTTGCCTCCTTACAGCATTGATAGAGAGAAAAGGGAATGTTGAAGGGTGGTAGATATCTAGCAGTCCTGCCACCTGCGTTGTTTTGACAGTTTCTCCTGTTGTATTACCTCCCCCCCAAAGACTATTCCGAAGTTCAGTGTAACTTCTATGCATCAGTAGAACTAAACAACACTGATGTCTGCCTTGCAGTTAAGTTTTTTTTGTGTCAGAGGAATGGCTGTTTATTCTGTCTTCGTTGGACCCCTAGTGTAATGTTTTCTTTCTGTAGCTCTTTGTGCACCAGAATTGTTAGTCTTGGAATAGCAGAAATGCAATTTTCAAAGTTATCTGGATAAAACTATGTGGCTTCTAACAGCCTGTCTTTGACTAAACTCCTCAAACCTCATACTGTTGGTGTGGCTTATGCCTACTGCTTCAGAGGAAGTCAAAACTATTAATCACACAGAATTCAGATACTTGCTGATGCCTGGCATGAGATAATATTTCACTGGGGGGGGGGTGTTCCTGTAGTAATGGTATCAGTTTGAGCAGGTGGCTGTTCAGGTTGCGATTATAAATGCTCAAGGGTCTCGGCTGTGACTTTTTTCCTCCTTATGAATACTGGTGACTGTCTGTGGAAAAGAAAACCTGTTCTTCAGAAAGTCAGTAAGCTGAATTTCCAGTGTCCTTTGCTTCCTTCCTAGGTTTGCTCTGCGTTTTATACGCCCTGATCCTCGTAGCCGGGTCACTGACCCAGTGGGTGACATTATTTCATTTATTCATATGTTTGAGGAAAAATATGGGAGGATACACCCTGTCTTCTACCAGGGAACTTACAGCCAGGTCAGTGTCACGTTGGTGCATAGATCCTGGGGAGATGGAGAGTGGGGATTTTGCCAGATGGTATCAGGGCCTACATGATAAAATCACTTTTCATTTCAAAGCCCAGCATTTGTCCCCAAACTCTCTAACAGGGTAATGGAGAGTTAGTGAACAAGTGTGTTGGAAAACCAGTGTCTGCCAGGCTTGATGATATGCCAATTCTGCAAAGTTGGAAAGCAAAGCTACTCTGACTGTTCCTTGACCGTCTGTATGGCTCTGTAGCCAACAGCTATTCTTTGTAAACCTGCCTTTGTTTTTATAAACTGATGTGGTATGCCAGAGTCTGTCCTTCTGTTCACCATTTTGGGATTGACTGCCTGGGCTTGTATTATAATGAAACTCCAGAACTTGGTGTGGAACCTCAAAATTGAGAGAGGGAGCCCCTGAAGAAATTATGGGAGGTGAGAGTTCCATATGTTAGATCTGGGCTGATGGTGCTTTCTGTAAAAGAGGGATGTCCCAATGGGTACTGCCTCTTCTGCAGCTTCTCTCAGCCTAGCCAACAAGGGAAGGGCCTCCTGCAGTGCGTCCCAGCAGACAGTTGGATCAGCACTGCTTCCTGAGTGCCAGAGAAGAATGTGGAGTCTGTAGCTGTTCCACGCTGCACAGCGATGGAGCTCGCCGCCTCCGCCGCGCTTCTGGGCCTCTCTGTCTTGCCTGGAATCCAAACTTAAATAACCATGGAATGGTTAGGCTACCAAAACTCAGTGCTAGTAAAACAGGGAGCCTATTGTGCACTTATCCTGTGGTCTTGTTAAGAAATGCTCTTGGGTGGGTGGAATCCAGAGACTGTGGATGCAAAAAGGTGTGGTTTTGTTGTTGTTTGTTTGTGTTTTGTTTTGTCAGGGCCTGCAGCATTAGCAAGTTATCTTTTTTTAGTAATGTTTTCATTTTATGTGGTCTGAAGATTGTGTCCTGTAGAGGCTAGAGTGGAAAGCTCAGCCTTGGCCGCTGTGAATCTGAGCGATGAAGAAGGGCTCTTCACTGCCAGCTGAGTCTGACAGGGCAGTGGGGGATGTGAACTTGTACAGTTGTCTATCTGGCTTCTCTGAGTTCAGTGTTCTCCAAAGCCACATCCTGAAAGGAGTGTGAAAGAACAACCTTAAATGAGGGTTTATTCAGAAGGTCTGACAGGTTCATCCTCCACTGCTGCTTCGTTAAAACCACGCTAGTGGCAGAGGGATGGCCTGGCTAAATGTTGCTGAGCTGTCACATAAGTCTTGTGGATGCTGCTTTCCCCTTGCTTAGACACCCTATAACTTTACTTCCTCTGCTCTTATGCCAAGGCACTGAATGATGCCAAGCGGGAGCTGCGCTTCCTATTGGTTTATCTTCACGGAGATGACCACCAAGACACAGATGAATTCTGCCGGTAGGTAGGAGAGTTTTCCAAATGGTTATCTTTGCACTTTAAATGCAGCTTCATTCACACAGTCTCTTCTCATCCCCTAGCAATACACTGTGCGTACCTGAGGTGATCACCCTCATAAACACTAGAATGCTCTTCTGGGCTTGTTCAACCAATAAACCAGAGGGATACAGAGGTGAGTGTGTCCCTCCTTGGCTTTACCTACCCCTTCCTGTCTATGGAACAAGCTTGCATGTTTGAAACACACTTGGGTTTTGTGCAGAGAGACAAGAGATTTCAAGATTGCATGGGGAAATACATGTTGGTTTTCATGTGGTATCTCAGAGGGCCTGTTTGGGGGCCAGGGAAATACCTTCTGTTCTTAACCTCCACTGTTCCATGTGTTGCTGGGCTCTCCTAGTTGTGTGTTCTCTGCTGCAGACATTCAAGCTGCTTTTAGTGCCTTGTTAATGTGAGTTGGTGGGTGTGTGCCCAGGATTAAACTGAGCGCAAAAACCAGTATCTAACTAGCTGTGCCCTTAACGCTGGTTCATATTATGCCTGAGGCCAGGAGTGACTTGTTAGGTGCATTCTTTCCCTTTCTGAGACAGTCATCACTCCACACCCAGTCTCTCTCCTCTAAAGTCCACAGTGAGGTGTTTTTAGTACTGTCTTTCCAGAGCTGTTGATAACTGGCCTGACAGCATTTTGGTAGGGTTTTGGGTAGGGTTTTGCTGCAAATAGAGGCTTTTCCTGACGTTCTGTTCATGCCTCTGTGTCTTTTCTTGAGCCTTCCGTTTTCATGGCAGTAGAGGCCAGGAGTTCTGGTTCTAAATCTGGGCCATTCCTGGCTTCATAGTTCAGTTACCAGCTATTGAAACCTTGACAGAATGGCTTTCTAAGGAGACATTCTTACTGCTGTTTCATTGCTACAGTGCTTTGGAGTCACAGCCTAGAGAGCAGAGCTGGAAGGGATCATGGGCTTTCATTTAATCCACAGGTTGCTCTGATTTAGTTTGGAGCGCTCCATCAGTAATGACTGCTCCAAGTTGTGTGATGTGCCATGCATGTTTTAAGGAGGAGGTGATAGTCAGTCATGGGTGAATGGTAACTTAAAAGCCCCTGATCTGCTTCATTCCCTGCCTCAAGACAGTGGCTGCCTCTGGCAGAAACAATTTAATTTTGTTCTGAAATGTCCAGGATGCACACTCTGCCATCTTCCCTATGACAGTATTTTCCAGAGCCTGGCCATCCTTAATATTGTCAAGCACAGGGAAACACTTGCTCTTTCTCTTCCTGCAGTTTAACCCTGGGGCACTCTGTCCCATTCTGAATGGGCATTCAGAGCAATTTACTTCGTGCTTGAGTTCAAGAACCTTTTTGGTTACTTGAAATCTTGGGTGGGTTCCCCCCCACCTTAGTCTCTATGCTCCAGGCCATTTCTTCCCATTGCTAATTTGTAGGGTTTAGTTTGACAAAATGGAGCCTGAGGCCTTTTCTGCCTTGGAAGAGATAGTGGCTGTGGAAACTGCTTTCCTAGGCCCTGGGTGATGGAAAGCATTTGTGCTGTACCCTCTTGATCACCCTTCTGGATGGGGTAGTTATGGTGATGTTTGTGTCTGTTTCCCAGTCTCCCAGGCTCTGCGAGAGAACACATACCCATTCCTGGCTGTGATTATGCTGAAGGATCGCAGAATGACAGTAGTTGGGCGGCTAGAAGGCCTCATCCAGGCTGATGACCTCATTAATCAACTGATGTTCATCATGGATGCCAACCAGACATACCTGGTGTCCGAACGCCTGGAAAGGTATGATGGGACCTGACTTCCAGTAATACCTTCCTTGTGGAGGCAGACTCTGCTCTGCCCCCTTCCTCCCTCCAGACACCAGATGTAGGCAGGTAAGTTAGCATCTCCTGCTGTAACACAGCCCATGGGCTCGCCTCTTCCCAGTGGGATCATTGGTCCATAAATTCAGGCCACCCTATAGCCAAGGAGCTGGGTGTGCTGTCCATACAGGCCTGCTACTAAAGGGTGGGTGTGAGTGCTCTACTGTTTTCTGCAGTTGGAGCACACCCTTGGTGTTGTGGAGCTTTGCAGGTAAAGCTTGGACAATAGCCAGTAGGAGCCAAGTGGGAGCAAAGGCATTGCAGGCAGGAGGGGAGCTGGCATCTGCAGCCAGTTGGTGGATGAGTGTTGCTGCCTGGGCTGGCTGTCCTGAATTCTGTGTTGCTGTTAGTGCCTTGTGAGCACAAGCCCCAGTCCCTGATAACTCTGTAGGGAATCGCAGGCTGTGTCGAAAATAGAATGTCACCTTCTGGTCTCCTGCTGGCCCCTCCTCTGCCCTATCGTCTCCCTGTACTTGGCACTGGTGAGGCTGCACCTCAAATACTGTGCGCAGTTCTGGGTCCCTCACTACAGGAGGGACATTGAGACGCTGGAGCATGTCCAGAGAAGGGCAGTGAAGTTGTTTAGGGGTCTCGAGCACAAGTCTTACGAGGAGCGGCTGAGGGAACTGGGATTGTTTAGCCTGGAGAAAAGGAGGCTGAGGGGAGACCTTACCATTCTCTGCAACTATCTGAAAGGAGGGGGTAGAGAGGTTGGGTTGGTCTCTTCTCCCAAGTAATGAGTGATGGGACTAGAGAAAATGGCCTCAAGTTGTGTCTGGGGGGGGTTAGGGTGGATATTAGGAAAAATTTCTTCTCAGAATGGGTTGTCAAGCATTGGAACAGGCTGCCCAGGGAAGTGGTGGAGTTGCCATCCCTGGGGGGGATTTAAAAGTGTAGTGTTTAGGGACAAGGTTTAGTGGTAGATTTGGCAGTGTTAGGTTAATGGTTGGGCTTGATCTTAAAGGTCCTTTCCAACCTAAATGAGTCTATGATTCTGTGGTCTCTGTGGGGGACCCAGTAACACATTTTGCCTCTGGTTTCTAAAATGCACAAGGAATTATCTGAAGGAGATAAACCTGTGAAGAGTCTGAGGAATGAGGTAGAAATCTTGGGCACTGCTTGTGTGCTGTCTGTCAAGCTGTGGTGGGTGAGAAATCTTTTGTGTTCAGCTCTTTTACACTCAACAGTTTGTGCTAGGGACTGTGGAGACTCAGCTCGCCTTTTGTGAGCTTGTGATACTCGGCCCTCTGAGGTATTAACTGATGTGTGCACTCCTTTGAGTTTGAGGCTGTACCTGCACCGTCAGGTCTGCCATTGTCCTTCTGTGCCTTCACTTTGGGTCCTGCTAGCCCTGACCGCTCCCTGCTCACATTTGCAGGGAAGAGAGAAACCAAACCCAAGTTCTGAGGCAGCAGCAGGATGAGGCATATCTGGCATCCTTGCGTGCGGACCAAGAAAAGGAACGCAAGAAGAAGGAGGAACGGGAGAGGAAGAAGAAAAAGGAGGAGGAAGTGCAGCAGCAAAAACTAGCAGAGGAGAGACGGCGACAGGTGAGAGCAAACGGACTGCTGGAGAGGCTGCTGTGCCCTGTTGGATGCTCAGGTTGTGTGGAGGCAATGCCTGCAGTAGAGCTTTCTTGTCAGATTGGAGCTCTGCTTGTCTTGCTTGGGGCTTGAGTGTCCTCTGGAGCAGCCGTGCTGCAAGGGACAAGCATAAAGGTCAGTTCAGTGCATGCCCCTTGCTCCTGCTCCCTCCTTACTTTACAGACGCTGCAGGAGGAGAAGGAACGGAAGTCTGAATGCCTTCCTCCTGAACCACATCCCGATGACCCAGAGAGCGTTAAGATCATTTTCAAGCTGCCTAATGATTCCAGAGTGGAGCGGCGATTCCACTTCACACAGTCATTGACGGTGAGCTTGGGGCAGAGTGGATGGGCTTCCAAGAGTAACAGAGGGTCAAGAGATTCTCCAGGTGGCTCAGCAAAGCTTTGGTTCCATTGGACTTTGCTGAATGGTGACATTTGCTGAGAGCCTTAGCAGGCAGAGTTGTTCCTGGGTAAGGAGGGTGTCTTGGGGCCTGGTCCCACCAGCTTAGAGAGATTAGAGGGGGGAAAAAAAAATAGAAGAAACTCTTCCTCTGAGAAGCTGAGACTCTGTTGCTCCCTAGTAAGAGCCAGAAACAGTGTCAGGACTTCCCAGATACTCTGTGACAAGTCCAGTTTTGTGCATGTGAAGAAAATGGCTGTCTGGCGTCTACAATGCAGTTATGGTGCAAGTTTGGTAACCTGTGAGGTGCCATGGATGCAGTCTGGCTGTGTCATTGCTCCCCCAGCTGGCAGTTATTTTTGTGCTTCTTTCCCAGGTGATCCACGACTTCTTGTTCTCCTTGAAAGAAAGCCCTGAAAAGTTCCAGATTGAGGCCAACTTCCCTCGCCGTGTCCTGCCCTGCCTCCCTACAGAGGAGTGGCCCAACCCGCCCACGCTGCAGGAGGCCGGACTCAGCCACACGGAAGTCCTCTTTGTGCAGGACCTCACGGACGATTGACACTTTTCCAGGAGACACAAAATGGAAAGAAATTCATATTATTATTATAATACAATATTTTTTTTAAAAGACTGCGTACAAACGAGGGATCAGAGACCACATTGCCTGTGCCAGCTGTGCTCTGTGTGTGCACTGGCGAGAGGAGGTGTGTGCACGTCCTCACACACCTGTGTACACAGCCATCCCCTACACTTGGAGGGCAGAGAGGGAGGGGAGCTGGTGTTACCCCTCCGCCCTCCCTGGGGAGGAACAGGAATGGCAGCTCTCGGTAATTATTGCTTTTATTGATGACAATAATAATAAAGCCCCAACAACTTGACATCTTGTGAAGATTTGATACTCTGCTGCTCCTGACAGCCAGAAGACCGGGCACCTGAATGTGCTGGGAGAGGGTGGGGGGGAAGCGCTGGATAGAATCTCTTTAGCTTCCCTCTGTGTATAAATATCTATCTTCTAATATTTCTCTTGCTTTGTAATGACCAAAGGAGAATGGGGTTGACTATAGTATTAACTTTTTGATAAAGAGCTGGTTCAATTCTTACCTGTGTGGGGTCTTGCCCAGGGTTCTTAGCCTGCGTAGTGTAATAAACTCTGCCTCTAGCATGTCTGTGCCAATGCTTTCTGCCTCTGCCCCCTGCCACAGCCAAGCACGAGGGAGGGGGTTCTGGTGGCTGTGGATCTACACTAAGTTACTGCTCACAGTGGTGTGTGTGGGTACAACTAACTTCTGGCCTTGAATTGGTAACTCTGTGCTAGTGGAGCTGCTGGTTTAAGACAAACGGGAGTGTGTGCACCATGGGGGAAGGTGGTGATGGAGTTCCTGCTGTGCTGCCTGTGGCAGGAACTTGGGAGTGAGGCTGGGTAGGAGGGAGACGGCTCTTCCTTTGCTCAAAGGGCTGGGTCAGTCCTCCCTGACTGAGTTAGAGGTGCAAAAAAACCCAAACCTAGACATGTAAGGCACAGTGTGTAGAAGGGTTGATGTCAGGCTCAGTTCTGCCCCAGGGGCTTGCTCATGGCTGTGGAGTGGTGCTGTCAGCTCCTGCCCAAAGGGAGAGTGGTAGGAGCCTCTTCCTTCCCTACCTGCTGGTCATGTCTTTAGGGCAGCGTACCCTCGCTTGCTTGCCTGCATGAAGCACAGAAGGGAGCAGGGAGGTCTCTCTGTCTCCACCACTGCAGAAGGCTGCAAGCTGTAGTAAACCAGCCCCCCTCCTGGTGGATCCAGGGCCTGGTGTGGCTTTCTCAGCAGGGAGAGGAGATCCCTCATTTTCCTCCCAAAGGAAGAGCTGTTCCCTTTCTGGCCATGGAGCCTTCTGCAGTGTTGTGGTTTGGGGAACAGCAGTCCTGCTCTTGGCCTTGGGCACCCAGAGCTCCTGTTCTCTGTTATACATAGGGTGGATGTGTCTGTTCTGCTCAGCTTGAAGTACCCAGCCTGGGGCTGTTGAGGTCCTCTAGGACTGGCTTGGCTAGGGTGGTTTCCCTGGCTGGGCATGGCCATGCTGGAGGGTTCAATATATTCATCAATGACCTGGATGAAGGGATAGGTTGTGCCATCAGCCAGCTTGCTGATGGCACAAAACTGGGAGGGGTGGCTGACATGCTGGAAGGCTGTGCAGCTATTCAGTGTGACCTGGACAGGCTGGAGAGTTGGGTGGAGAGCAACCTTATGAAATTCAACAAAGGCAAGTGTAGGGTACTGCACCTGGGGAGGACTAACCCCATGCATCAGTACAGGTTAGGGGCTGACCCGCTGGAGAGCAGCTATATGGAAAGGGACCTGGGGAGTCCTGGTGGACAACAGGATGATCATGAGCCAGCAATGTGCCCTGGTGGCCAAGAAGGCCAATGGCATCCTGGGGTGCATCAAGAAAAGTGTGGCCAGCAGGTGGAGGGAGGTCATCCTCCCCCTCTGCTCTGCCCTGGTGAGGCCGCATCTGGAGTATTGTTCCAGTTCTGGGCTCCTCAGTTCAAGAAGGACAGGGAACTGCAGAAGAGGGTCCAGCAAAGGGCTACAAAGATGATTAGGGGACTGGAGCATCTTTCTTGTGAGTAAAGGCTGAGGGACTTTGGTCTTTTTAGTCTGGGGAAGACTGAGGGGGGATCTTATCAATACTTATAAATACTTAAAGGGAAGGTGCCAGGGGGATGGGAACGGTCTTTTTTCAGTGGTACCCAGTGACAGGACAAGAGGTAACGGGCAACAAACTTGAATATATGAAGTTCCATCTAAACATGAGGAGGAACTTCTTTCCTTTGAGGGTGGCAGAGCACTGGCACAGGCTGCCCAGAGAGGTTGTGGAGTCTCCCACACTGGAGACATTCAAAACCTGCCTGGATGCTGTCCTGTGCAACCTGCTGTAGGTGACCCTGCTCTGGCAGGAGGGTTGGACTAGAAAGATGATCTCCAGAGGTCCCTTCCAACCCTGACCATTCTGTGATTCTGTTGGGTTGTAGGACAGGTGGAAGCTGCCCTCCTGGTGTTGCTGGAGCCACCCAGAAAGATGAACTGTCCCAGAATGGCATCCAGGAGGACTTCACACCTTGATGTAAGCTGTGAAGGCTCTCCAGGTGGGAGTGAGGGGGTCCAGGGTGCTGCTGGGCCACATACCCCTCTGGGGCAGGGGACCCCTGGTCTCCTCCAAGCCCCTCTCTGGGGCTCTTCCAGCCTCCACACCCTCTCTCCACCTGCTTGTTGATGGCCTGGGGACCCCCATCCCTGACCAGAGTGCTAGCCCAGCCTCAGCCCCCCAGCAGGGCCATGCGTGGCCACCCTGGCCCCCCTCGAGCCCTCACCAAGACAAGAGCCGGGGCACAGCGCGTTGGTATACATCATACATTTATTAGTGAATATCCCTCTCAAAATCAGCCACAACATTAAAAAAAATAATGATTGCACTACTTGGTCAAGCAGAACTAGCAACTTTCATTTTAAAAAAAGTACAAATCTGTTAAAAATTTCAATCAGTATAATACACATATATATAATACAACATACTAGTTATGTTAAATGCTACAAAACCAATATGATTCCAATGGAATGGAAAAAAAACAAACACTTTTAGAGCTTTAAGAACCTTTTTTTTCTATATATTAGCCTTTTTTCAAATACATACATGGGAAAAATGAGGTAACTGTAAAATTTGCAATTAACAGAGCAAAAAAAATTATATATATAT